AATCTGCAAATTGAGTGGACTTTCCATTGAAAAATTCCCGTTGAACACGTTGGTAGGGTGAACTGTGCAGTTCTACACTGTTTTAATGAGTCCTGGAGCTGTGACTTCTGTATCTTTAACAGTTCAATCGAGACTTGAAAGTGGGTTTCTTTATCAACTTTATTAGATACTTCTTGGATGCTACCATTGAAGAGGGAGTCAGTAAACCAAGGCTGGCGAAATCGCTCCTCCCATGAAGAGATGTTAAGGGGTCCATGTTGGCGAACAGCAAGAGTGTAGCCCAAAAAATGAGACAACTGATCCAGGACAATTTGGAACTAGTCCAGAGCTAAAGTCATGCTTCCTTGGATGTAAGCGTCTTGATCAGAGTAAGTATGCTCTAGAGCAGTGTTAACAGCCTCGTTTGCTTCAATCACGCAACTAATAGATGGCAACGTCTTTCTCACGGCCGAATCCATGTAAGCCAACTCTTGGTCCTCAATAAGGTAGAGCGAAGCAGCTCGTATGCCACACAGGGTTCCAATATCCTCATCAACTGTTGGAGCTGTAGAGATTTTTGTTAGGCCGTGGACATGAGAGGTAGAAGGATTATATCTGGGAGCAGAGAATCCGTAATTAATTCGTTTCAGGCTCTTGAAACCATCATTTAGTGTACTGGATAATTTCAGAATACAAGTTCGAGGTGGAAGGGTGATGGTAGACCAATCCCAGTTCCTAAGAGTATAAGAGTGATCCAGGTCATCTGATGAAGTACTCAAGGCAAGTTGGAGCTTCTCAACAATCCAAAGGAGTACCTGAGGTGTCTCAACTGCTGCAAAGCTACCCCAGGGGTAGATAACTCAGAGTGAGCGGGAGATGCAGGCATGGCTATTTGGACTGGATCAATCTCAGGAGGTGGACCAGAGGAAGAGCCAGGAGCTACCGAAGCCAGATGGGCTACAGTAGACGGCTGTATTTGGTTCCAGGCTGAGGTTATGGCCCTGATCATCATATTTAGATCCGGAGTCGCTGTAGGAGTGGAATTGTTATCAGGTTATCATGACTCAGCGATGATCCTAGAGTGAGTCGAAGGATTCTCAGAGCGTGTAGGCGGAACATCATAAGAGACTGTAGGCCTATTAGTGGTATCAGAGCAATGATCACCCGAACGTCGGTCAGAGGAACTGTATCGAGATCTCGACGTGGTAAGTACCGAAGTAGGTTGGTAAGCCGGTGATCTGGATTCCCTAGTATGGCTAGGTGATCCGGTATGATATGAAGAACTAGTCCGGGTCGCTGTAGTTCTAGTTGGTGATCTGGTTCTGATTGGAGCTCTGGTTCGACCATCTGAATAGGATCGGCCATGAGATGTGGATCTGTACTGTGATCCCGATTGGTCAGTGGCTCTGTAAGGTGATCTAAATCGTATAGGTGACCTGGGTTGGTAAATCTGGATTTGTAAAGTGATCTGGATCGATTCAATGCACTAACTGGAAACTGTGATCGTGATCTGGATCTATAAGGTGATCTGGATCGAACAGGTGATCTGGTTTGCAGTTGCGATCTGGCTTGATTTGGTGATCTGGATTGGTTAGGTGATCTACTTTGATGTTGTGATCTGGATCGGTTCGGTGATCTGGATCGGTCTGGTGATCTACTTCGATGTTGTGATCTGGATCGGTTAGGTGACCTAGATCGGTCCGGTGATCTGATTCGAAGTTGTGATCTGGATCCATTCGGTGATCTGGATCGGCTAGGTGATCTGGATCTGTCCGGTGATCTGATTCGAAATTGTGATCTGGACCCGTTTGGTGATCTGGATCAGTTAGGGGATCTGGATTGATCAGGTAATGTGGATCGTAGTTGTGCTCTGGATCGTGACGGCACGGTGATCTAGATCGTTGTGGTGATCTAGAATTATGTGGCGATCTGGATCGGCGATTAGGTGACGAAACCTGAAGTGTTGATTCATGATGAACGTCCCCCGGCGACCCTGTTGTAGCCAGCTCCTCCGGAACTGTGGGGGACAGTTGGCTGGTTGAACGCGGTTGGCCAGGCTCCAAACAAACTGAGACAGTCGAGGGGATATGTACCAATGATCTGGATGATGATAGTGTCGATCTAAGTTCCCCTGGTAGTGCAGATGGGACAACAAAGAATTGTCGATCACAACCAACCCGCAAGTGATCTGACGCTATGGAAGGAGGTGATTGATGCGTACATAATAGGTGCCGAACGTCCTCAGATAAGTAAGAATCTGATGAAGTGTCCATAAAATCCTCTTGAACCACAGACGTCGCTCTCTTGTGTTAAGGTACGATTTTCTGTCGCTGCAACTTGATACGTTTGGCGGGAGTGGGATTAGATTCTGTTAATTTCCTGTCCCTCTCAGCGATTCTCCGGGAGCACACACGAAGGTAGGCCTTAAAATCCTCATCTTTTAGTGAATTACACTTGCCACATCGTTTGTTCCAGTTACATTGTCAAATACAGTCACTGCAAGACGAGTGAGGGTCGAGGGACGAATAATTCGTCTTGCATTGAGCACAAACTTTCCTTTTCCATGACTGATTATCAGTTTTCCCCATGATGTTAGGGTGAAATAATGTCCCTAATATACAGCACGTCCACACAGTCGTGCGACAAGAAAGAGAATGATCATTCAAGGTAGTCACGTGGGCAATTATTGGAGCATGCTGCAAGCTTTATTAGGAACTAGGAAGCTAATTAAGGAGAGCAGCATGGAGTGCACGGGCGAATGAACAAGGAGGCCTATGGAAAAAGGTTTACAGTCGTTCCACTAAAAGTCGAAGCAAGAGAGAGAGGTGCAAGTCGTGAGATAGGATAAGTTTAAAAATATAACTGCCAAACGGTACTTTTTAGCGACTCGATATGTCCAGGCAAAATTGTTGGGAATCGATTGTGCATCTGTACAAGAGATTTGGAAGTGTTGGAACCATTAGTTCTTGAGATATTTGCTGTCAAACTTTGAAATTTTGGAATTAATTTTGAATTATCTCCCCTTTGCTATTGGGCCTAGAGCCTAGAGATTTTTAAGGGGAATATCTACACCTCGGTGCACATCTGTGTGATTTTTTGTAAGCGATTCAGAGCATTGGTTTAGGAGTTATGTTTGGTACAAAAATCGGCGGAATAATAAATAATAATAATAATAATAATCCGAACGATTACAATAGGTCTCCTGCCTAGAGGCAAGGAGCCCTATCTAAGACCAAATCAACGACACAAATGTGACCGACAAAAATACATGTGAGCTCAGCGATGTCACATCAAATACATTGGACATTGAAGACTCTACGCCAACGGCATAGTATGCAAAGGGAAACCACTCCCATCTTGCGTAAAAACTAAGATTAGCTGCCCTTGAGTTATTGCAAAGGTCAGGGCCATTGCTAATAGCATGCAGACGCCTTTCACTACTATCCTTTTGTTGATTATCAAGAAGGTATGTTGTTTCACTCTTCTTCCAACACTGAACCGGGTGGGAATAGTACTTTATGATATTGACTCATTAGTTATGTGGTTCACTACCGCAAATAACAATGTTTCTGACGTTAAATCGATGGTGACTTCTCTGTGTTGTTGAAGTGTCGAGGTGAATCATACACTTTTATGCAATATAAAAGCAATCTCCAAACGTAAAGCTGAGTATTTGCTGAAACAGACACTAACTTGAACCATTTTGCCACAGACTACAATGATCTTAGCCTACAATCGCTTTGTGCAAGAGGATGGCGATTGCAGCCAAAGCCTAAGATCGCGATCTTAAGGATTTACAATAATTGTAGCGCTAAGATCGTTCTGTGTAAGTGGGTCCTGGTAATCCAGGATTGTGCCCAGATACATGGCCCCTGATACAACACATCGATTTACTAACACTGTTTAATGATACATATCATTTGTTAAATGACAAGTTATATTGTGTACAACATAAAAAATGCTGAAAAAAACCCCTGTTCTACAACCATCTTTTTTTGGTGTGCTGTACAAAAGGCTGACTGACTGACTGAGTTTGGTTTTACGCCGCTTTTAGCAATATTCCAGCAACATCACGACGGGGGACACCAGAAATGGGCTTCGCACATTGTACCCAGCTGTACAAAAGGAGTAAGTGAGCATGATTCTGGGCCGACAGAAACAGGTTTCATACATTTTACCCATGTGGGGAATCGAACCCGCGTCCTTTACATGACAAGCAAATGCTTTAACCACTAGTCTACCCTACCATCCCTACTATAAATAGCACAACATTCAAAGAAATCTCCGGCCTACATATTTGTGTTCCACAATATCGAATGATTCAGGGTTGTGATTCAATTGCAAAAGAAGAATATCAACTTAAGAAATCTATGCGCTGTACCGCACCTCCAGGCCTGATAGCATATAATATATGACTGCACTGTGGCCCAACAATATCGTTAGAACTTCTACTTCAAACATTATCTATTGAGTGCTAAGTAATTTGTTGAATCCATTTATTGCTTTATATGTAAGCTGAGTCTTACACAAAGCATGAGATGCTCGGGACTTTTTCTCACCACATTCTGGGTGAAAGTTCTGATATGTTGACTACTTGATGGCATCATACCTGTGGAATCAACATGTGCAGAGCTTGTCTAAAATGTAACTGAAAACTAATCAACTAAATTTGAAACACCTTTGGCCGAAACAAAGAACTAAACCTGATAACCATTACAAATGATAAACCATGGAGGATTTATAATCAACTAAATGTGATTCTCTTAATGTGAATGAAGAAAAGGCTAACTAGAGCTAATTATCTACTCAGGGCCTCTAAGTCCTACAACATTGTGATTAAAAATAATTCAAGCCAAATAAAAGCCTGATCTATCGTTTCCCACCATATGAAATACTTTTAAACCACCTTGCATTTCAGGTGGACTCCTACCGATCGTTTTTTCCTACGACCGGACCAGTATGCAGTGAGTGGTTTGTGAGAGCAGTTTTATTGCAAAACCAAAATGTCTTCAGAAAAATACCTGTGCATGTTGAGAGTGAAATACTCCAAGTCTGAACCGTTGATGGTCACCTGCCCTGAACCATGTCCTTGTACGGTCACAGCAGCCACAGCGCTTTTACGATAACCTAAACAGAAGGTAAACCAATCCATTGTTCATTTGGCTGTTAGCATGTCGTTAAAGGCCACAATGACCAAAAAGAAAATATAATTGATACAGTATACAGTAATTGACATTAGCATCGATATATGTTGTTTGTTTGTTGTTTAAACCACTCAACAACATTGCAGCAATATGATGGTGGTTTATAAATAATTGAGTCTGGACCAGATAATCCAGTGATCAGCATCATGAACATCGATCTCTGCAAATTGGACACGTGTCAACGAGGTCAGCGAGCCTGTCCACACGATCCTGTTATTCGACTGTTATGACAAGCATGGGTTGCTGAAGACCAATTCTAACCCGGGTTTTGCAATTTGGATTATCGACAAATATCAGAGAAATAACTTTGAGCAAAAACGCCAAAACAAATCTGAAAGACATCAATATATTTCATACCACTGGTGAGTGGTGACATGTTTGGGCATGGGTTACTAACAAAACAGCATCCTGAACATAATTTAGAAGAAGCCTATGAATTAAAAATCTAATTTTGTGTATTGCATGAGAAAATCAAAACTTTTATGACAAATTTTATGTATGATACTATTGATAACACCATTTTCAAACAGAAAATCATCACTGGGTTGTCTGGTCCAGATTCGATTATTTATAGACTGCCGCCATGTGGCTGGAGTATTGCTGAGTGCAGGTAAAAATAAACTCACAGGATTTGACTACATATTTGTTTAAATCACTGACATAGGATCAACATCAGTTACCTTCAGCAGTCATAAAACTCCTCCCCTCTTTGTCAGTCTTCAGCTGCAACACATACATCAGTCAATGTAGTATTATCTTTCAAGTAACACATGAAGAGGCACTGGAAGTAAGGTGTGTTTAGGTAAAATCGCAACCATTACACTACTCGAAGTGAAAGAACAACTGAGTCTCTCATATGGAGGGTGGTGGGGTAGCCTAATGGTTAAAGTGTTTGCTCGTCACACTGAAGACCGGGGTTTGAATTCTCACGTTCTAGTGTTCCCAATCGTGATATCGATGAAATATTGCTAAAAGCGGCGTAAATACATACTCACTCACTCACATGAATATATTCATTCTGTTAGTGTTATGAACACAGGTGTCCTCCGCTGTGATACTGCTGGATTATTGCTAAAAGCAGCATAAAACCTTACTCACTAACTCACTCATACGGATATATTCATTCTGTTATGAACACAGGTGTTCTTCAATTTCTTCTGAGATAATCCTTTGACATTTTGGGGGCAAAACTTTTCAAGTATCTAATTTAAAAGTTCAATTTCTTCACTATATTTGGTTGTTTAAAACAGTATGCTAACTAAACAATCAAGCCATGTGGTATCAGGTACAGTCTTCCTGGTGTCAACATCTACAATCATTCAATGCCAAGATATCACTCACAGAATTAACAAGTAAACATATTTATTGAGCCATATTATCAGGTGCAATGTTATTGGTGTCACCATATATAAGTAATTCATAACAGAAAAACACTTGGATTAACCAGTAAACCTATTTATTAAGCTATATTGTCTCAGGTGCAATCTTCCTGGTATCAACTGGGTGGTGGGGTAGCCTGGTGGTTAAAGTGTTTGCTCATCACGACAAAGACCCGGGTTTGACTCCCCACATGGGTATAGGTCCGTCTCCTATTCTCGCTGTAAACACATTTTTTTTCTGAAATCGTCAATGCGCGGCACTTAGAGGTTGTTTACATCACCGACTTCCACTAGGAAGTGGCCCAAGTCTGTGAGTGATCAAAATCTTGCAGTGTCACGAATATTGGGGAGTTTATACCAACTTGGACATATCATTACTTTTACCCGCCTTTTCCGGCAGGATTGCTCTTACATACACTCAAAAACGTTAATTCCTGGTAATACCGCGAGAATGGGAGAAGCCTCGTTTCGTCAATGGCGGATGGCATTGTTTATCACCGGGCTCACGAGTGGTAATTCACCTGATGGATCGGGCAGCGGATAGATGTAGATGTTAGAGGAGAAGGCCCTTCATTTAAAAACAACAAGCATGAATACGATAAGAATTGTTTGTTATTTTTTCAGCTGATATCCGTAAGTACCGCGAGAATAGGAAACGCCTTCCTACAATGTGTGAAGCTCATTTCTTGCGTTCCCGGCCATGATATTGCTGAAATTTTGCTAAAAGCGCCATAAAACTAAACTCACACATTCCTGGTGTCAACATCTATATTCCTTCAATGCCAAGATAATACTCACTGGATCAACCAGTAAACATATTTATTGAGACAAATTGTGCAGCAATCTTCCAGGTGTCAGTGCATGTTCAAGTATTACTAGGATCATACTCACAGGTTTAATCTTGTCTCCAAAGCTCTGTCTGTTCAGCCGCTGCCGGAACTTCATGATGTACTTGGCCTCCTTGTGGGCAAGCGGATGTTCAACAAACCTGGTCATCAGCTTCAGGAACTGGCCATACTAAAGTAAAGAGGTAAGTGCTACATCTTATACCACACCATAACATCTCTAAGAAGAATCCTGGAATCTTATTGGTTTCCACATCATGTGACAAATTAATCCATACTATAACGGTCAGAATACACCAGAAAATGACAGACTTACATCTTGTTGGCTGATGTCCTCCATTACCCTTGCCTTCAAGGTGTCATAGCTGATCCACTCATTCTCATGGAGAGGTCTGCAGATAAACAGTACATGAGAGCCATGGTTACTTTATCATTGAAATATTTCTGATTATTGTCAAGGTTAATTTTTGAGCTTACCAAACAAAGGTACAAAAATTGCGACTCTCATTACTGTGTGGTATTCGATTTATCAACATATGACATGTACCCTTGTGCCCATCATTGAAAAATAATAATAATAATAATAATAAAAATACTTAAAACAATACACACTGCTAGGTAGCTAAAATTAGTCTGATGAGTCATTTAAAATGGCTATACTAACAGGGGTAAAAGAACATTTGGCACGTTTAGTTCTAAGTTTTGGCACTTGATATCTGCGGCCTGATGGCAGGAGGACATATTTCATGTTGAGGGCATGTGTTGGATCGGCTACTACTTTGCTAGCAAGGGAGAGAACTCTGTTGTGGTGGATGTCATCTAGCCTGGGTACAGGTGTCCCGGCAATCTTGCTGCTGATGTTCAGGATCTTGTTCAGCTTGTTCCTGTTTTTTCACTGATAGAGAACCATACCAGACTTGTATGGAGAATGTCAGGACACTTTGTATGAAACACCTGTAGTATGAGAGCATTATTCTTGTCTCCACTTGGAAAGATCTGAGATTGCGCATGAGAAACAGTCTCTGCTGGCACTTGGTGCAAGGCGTTGGTGTTGGTTGGCGTTCCAGTTGAGCTTACTGTCTAAGACAGTGCCCGGATACTTATACTCTGTGATGCTCTCAACTACCGTACCATTAATTGTCACGGGATGTAATGCCTCTTTCTTCATGTGAAAGTCTATTGCCATCTCTTTGGTTTTAGATACATTCAACTGTAGGTAGTGTCTCTCACCAGTCTGTAAAGTCTGATATTTCTGTTCGGTAGTTGTCCTCAGCACCAGTTATGAGAGCAACAAGAGAGGCGTCATCAGCAAATTTGACCAGGGAGCAATCGGGTTGCTGAGCAGAGCAGTCGTTCGTGTAGGTGGTGAATAACAATGGGGACATCACACAACCCTCTGGGGCGCCAGTGTTAGTGGTTTAGATGGATGAGTGGACGTTATTCACTCGTACAAACTGCTGGCGTTCTGTTATGAAGTCCGATATCCACAAGACATGTTTGGAGTTGACGTTTGTGTCAATAAATGTCATATGTATTTCTAAATGCACCAAGTGCTTTCAAAATTCTTCAGATTTGTGTCTGAATAATCGTTACTTGTTCACACAACAACAGGGTGGTGGGGTAGCATAGTAGTTAAAGCGTTCGCTGGTCACTCTGATGACCCGGGTTTGATTCCCCACATGGGTACAATGAGTGAAGCCAATTTCTGGTGTCCTCCGCCGTGATATTGCTGGAATATTGCTAAAAGCAGCATAAAACCTTACTCACTCACTAACTCACTCATACAGATATATCCATTCTGTTATGAACACGGGTGTTCTCCAATTTCTTCTGAAATAATCCTTTGAAGTTTTGGGGGCAAAACCTTTAAGTATCTAATTTATAAGTTCAATTTCTTCACTATATTTGGTTGTTTAAAACAGTATGCTAACTAAACAATCAAGCCATGTGGTATCAGGTACAGTCTTCCTGGTGTCAACATCTACAATCATTCAATGCCAAGATAACACTCATTTAATTAACAAGTAAACATACCGGGAATCCTGGTATTTAAGCCCTGTCGTTATTAACCCCATGGGTTTAATAACTTGAAATTTAAGCCATAAATTTGAAATTACTTTTAGAGTGATCTCACTGCTGAGATGGGCTCACTACTGGACACGATAAGAACAGATTTACCCTGGTCTTGGGCATTTGCATGGATGGTCATATTCTCAAAGTTATGGTGATCTTAAAAAATCATGTGAATGTTCCAAAATGCGAAGTCCCCCAAAATATTGAACTTTTTGTTACAAAAGGTGGATCAATGACCGAAGCCCTGATTCCAATGCAACAGTTTGAATTTTAAAAGAGTTCTCTCAAATTATAATAGTTATGTTGAAAAAATGATTGTATTTGCTCACGGAATAACATTTGTTCCATTAAAACTTAAAAAGAACGTTTTGTTATATTTTACCTTCTCTCGAATTTAACCCCAGCTCTAATTTCATAAAAAATGTTTCTTAGATGAAATAGGTCAAATTCGAAATTAATCCCAGGGCTTAAATCTTGCATATATTGAGCCATATTGTCTCAGATGCAATGTTCCTGGTATCAGTGGGGCAGTGGTATAGTCTGGTTTTTAAACAAAGACCCGGGTTCAATTCCCCACATGGGTACAATGTTTGAAACCCATTTCTTGCATTCCCCACCAAGATATTGCTGGAATATTGCTATAGCAGCGTAAAACTAAACTCACTCACTCACACAACAACATTCAATAAAAGTTATATTTAAAATACTACATCAATAATCTCTGTGTAATGAGTGTGAATACTTTTATGAAACTGATTGTAATTAAAGATTATGTGCTCATGTTCCAAGTATGTTTAAGATCAATACTTCATTAATCTATGGCAGCAGACAGGCCAATCTTTCAACTCTGATAAATTTAGAATACCAGGGAGCAGCTGGTTTTGTGTGGTGCAACTAGGTTTTCAAGTCAATATGTGTCTGATGCAAATTCCAGCCCTTAAATGAAGCCCTACTTTCCACATTGAAGGTATTCAAATCCAAGTCAATAGCTGAGAAACCAGCCCTCTTCTGTTGAAAAAACCCAGAACTCTTGGGCAAGAATTGTGTCAGACTATATATTTACTGGAAGGAATTTAATATTTTTTCAAGGTAGACATCCCTCTATAGAATTCCGGGTCAGAAAATGTGACCCCAGCAGCCTATCCTGACCATAACGGGGTACTACACCAACAGAGTGGTCAGTGAGTGAGTGAGTTTCGTTTTAAGCCACACTCAGCTTTATTCCAGCTACATGGCGGTTGTCTGTAAATAATCGAGTCTGGACCAGACAATCAAGTGATAAACAGCATGAGCATCGATCTACGCAATGACATGTCAACGAAGTCAGCGAGCCTGACCACCCGATCCCGTTGGTAGCCTCTTACGACAAGCATTGGTTACTGAAGATCAATTCAAACCCAGTTCTTCACGGGTGGGTGGTCAGACTCAAAGACATGGTTGATTCCATGTTTTCATATTCAAATATAATACACAACATTTATAACTAAAAACTCTTATAACGAACTGACATATATGACGAAATGGTCTCAGACACTTGCTAAATATTTCAGTCAAAATGCCTATACCGAACTAAAGGTGAGGTGAAATTGGGTTTAACGCCGTGCTTGAGAATATTTCGCTCATATGACGAAGTGCATGTGTGTGTATGTGTATGTGTGGCTGCTTGTACTAGCCCAGACTTAAGCTGGTTTTATAGTGCTAGCCCACTGAGATACCATGCCGCAGTGAAGCATGAATACCCCACTCAGACACATTATACTGACTCCGAACTGACCAGTCCTTGTTGTACCCATTAATGCAGAGCGCCAGGCAGGGACCAACAAGTACCATATTTTAACGTCTTTTGGTATGACGCGGTCGGGGATCGAACCCACGACCTTCCGCTCTCCGGGCGGACGCTCTAACCACTACACCACAGAGGCGGTCCCGAACTAAAGTGGTTTCTTTGACTTCGTTATTAACTCAGTATACTGTTTTGTGCATTGACATCCATAATGTCTAACATCACTAGATCAATGATTACAACTGTTTGTGAGTACTGGGGATCTCTTCTACGACAGTCCTCGCAAGGTAGGAATTGGCCCCCAAGGCAGCTTTTATCAACCTGTCAACAACCAGGACACCTGCGCTATCACCCATTATCAGCCATTCCTCTCAGGTGCTTGTATCCCGTTTCTTGTTGTTGTTCAACAAGTGAGTGAGTGAGTATGGTTTTACGCCGCTTTTAGCAATATTCCAGCAATATCACGGTGGGGGACACCAGAAATGGGCTTCACATATTGTACCCATGTGGGGAATCGAACCCGAGTCTTCGGCGTGACGAGCCAACACTAAACCACTAGGCTACCCCACCGCCCCTGTTGTTGCACAAAGTTTGAATCACTGAAACCTGAAAAGTCAAAGGATGTAACATCTTGAATTAGAACAAAGGTACTTACAACTTCTTTGCCTTCTCTTCAATCTCGTGAAACAAGGCACCCAGTTTAAGGAGTTTGTCTTCTTCTTTCTTCAGAACCTCAAGCTTCCATGTTACTTTCTGAATCAGACATAATCGCATATCACAGATATTTAGTTAGATGAGGACAAACCTTATTGATGAACAACTTCTTTATTCCGGCGATGTGATATTTCGATACAGATTCTTGTATCGTTGTCAAGCAGGTCATACAAGAATCTGTATCGAAATGGTGCATCACCAGAATAAAGAAGTTGTTCTTCCATACAGTATGTCCTTATCTGACTCTCCAAATTCTAAAAATGCCTCTCAAAAAAGTTAATATTTAGTTGTCAGGCACCAGTGACACACTTGTAAATGGACAAAATATAGTACCCATGTAACTAACTTGATGGTGAGCCAAAGCTTTAACCGCTGGGCTACCCCACAGTAGTGCCATCACCTCTGTGGTGTAGTGGTTAGAGCGTCCACCCGGAGAGCGGAAGGTCGCGGGTTCGATCCCCAACCATGTCATACCATAAGACATTAAAATATGGTACTTGTTGGTCCCTGCCTGGCGCTCTGCATTAATGGGTACAACAAGGACTGGTTGGCTCGAGTCAGTATAATGTGTCTGAGTGGGGTATTCATGCTTCACTGCGGCATGGTATCTCAGTGGGCTAGCACTATAAAACCAGCTTAAGTCTGGGCTAGTACAAGCAGCCGCACATACACACACATGCACTTCGTCATTTGAGCGAAATATTCTCAAGCATGACGTTAAACCCAATTTCACCTCACCTCCTAAGACATTGTCTACGATCAAAGTTAAGAATTCTTAGGGCTACAAACGTTCTGAGAATAAGGGCCTGCTGGAGTCATATGCTAAATACACTGGGACCTAATATCATCAACAAAACCCTGATCTCCTGTGTTTCACCAACAACATACTCACGTAGAGAAGCTCATAGAACTGGGGCTTGCCGGTGTAGAAGAATGCATGGAAAGGCCGTCCATCCATCCCGAACTGAGCATCTGAGTGAGAGAAATGTCATGACAGACTCTGGGAAGTTTGTGTCGTCAAATGTGGGATGACAATTACATGTTTTATTTCTTTGACAAGCTACAAATCTTGCTCGTGGAATGCAGGTGGAAATCTTGAAGAGTTCAATGTTTTTGTCAAATAAATATACATGCTATGTTCACGTCGTGTTAATTCTTCAAAAACTATCAATGGAAACTAACAATCACACTTATTTCACATCGGTTGTTTATTGTTAATGCTGCACTCAGAACTATTCAGGTTATATGATGGCAGCCTGTTGGTAATGTAACTTGGACCAAGCAATCCAGTGATTGACATCATGAGCATCTACCTATGACATTCATCAACCTGATCTTAGACAGCCTGACCACCCATTCGTCACTGGTTAAGACAAGCATGGGTTGCTGAAACCCAGCCCAAGCCTGGAATCTTCATGGAGCTCATTGTTAAAGACCAATTTTGACACTTATCCAGAGGTACAGATAAGTTGCGTATCTGCGTAAATTACACAAATATTTATGTGAAAACTCAATTCCTATTAAGCCTATTGCGTACAAGTACACTTGAACTATTGTAAATACTCAATAAATGTGATGAGGATACCCAATTGAGATGAACACAAGTGAGTACATAGCTCAATAACCCAAAAAGTTATCTGTAGCTCTGTTATCATTACCTCTCGCCATGTTCCCATCCAATCAAGTTGGTTCCACGGTGATTGATTTCATTTGGGTCAAGCGCTTTACTTAGTGCCGCAGAGCGAACCAGCCTCACGTACAAGAGACGCTAAGCCATCTCGTGTACACATTACGTCTCTGACTTATGATATTCAACTTACCTTTTCGTTTAGGAAAGACTTTTTGAGGTGGCTGAAAGAGTAGTTTAAGAAAGTGATGATCACAAATGAGGAGACATATTATTATTATATGATATTTATATGATATTTATATAGCGCACATATCCAGGCAACTAGTGCTTGCTCAAGGTGCTGGTATTTTTCGCCTCGATCATTGGATGTCAGTCTCAACAGCACATCGTGTTATCAAACTCAACTCCCTGGGGAGTATACAACTCTTGCAGCCACTAGGCGCACCGAGTTATTGTGGCCTTCTCATCCTAACGAGGTACCCATTCACAGCTGGGTGGACTGGGACACATAGTCACAGTACTTTGTCCAAGTTCACTGCACGTTGCTGTACCCGCAACTTGGTGTTTGCACGTATTCATGTGGCCACCATCTGGTCATGTACCAACAGATTCGTGGGTTCTTTTAAGTGCACAGGGATGTGTACTGTACACTAGGGGTTGTGACAACACTGAAAGAGTCTGCACACAAAGTTGACTCCGAGGTTTTTACACCCGGTCACAGGTGGGCTCGATTCCGACACCTAAAGCTCGCTGGATCACTAGCCTGGCACTTTCAGTATGGTTAAGCTGTTATGTGGTGGCAATGTTTTATGATATTCAGTGAGTGTCTGAGTGAGTTTGGTTTTGCAATAATCAAACCATATGACAGGAAGTAATACCAAGCAAATTGATACCTTGCTCATTGTATCAGTATGGGAGAGTGGGTTAGTTTCACACCACCTTTACCAATATTCCAGCAATATCATGATGGGGGACACCAAAATGGGGCTTCACACATTGCCCCAATGTAGGGAATCGAACATGGGTCTTCGGCGTGACGAGTGAACACTTTAACCACTAGGCTACCCCATCGCCCTTCAGTATGAGCAACAGAAACAAGGCCATGAAGCTAACACTTAAAGTTAATAAGTTTAATCACCAGACCACCCACTATTCATTACATTACAGTAATACAGAGCACAAGATAAGCTGTGTATTCACAAAAATATGCTAAACATATCATCATTACTCAATTAATTAGTATATGAAAATATGCATGAACTCTATTTTATGATATTACACTCAGAGTGAGTGAGTGAGTGAGTTTGGATTTATGTCGCTTTTACCAATATTCCAGCAATATCATGGCGGGGACACCAGAAATGGGCTTTACACATTGCACCCATGTGGGGAATCGAACCTGGGTTTTCGGCATGACGAGCAAATGCTTTAGCCACTTTGCTACCCCACCTCAACCGAGATGAGAAAGAAAATCCAGATTGCAGGGTAATAATAATGTAGTCCCATGTGTATTCACATGGGAATAGGATTTGGGCTCACTATGACTTATCAGCATTATCATTACTGGTTCAAGACATGATGATGATGATGATGATGATGATGATGATGATGTAGAATACATACAATAGCATTTTCCTAAACATCAAGAAGCCTATCTTGTCATATATATAATACAGATATGTATAATGGAACTGGCTCATGTCAGGTAAATTTCAATCCATTAACTTTGTAAAGCTTCCATTTCTAATGTAAGAGGACAGAAAGAAGTCCCACCTTCATCAGAGGTCTTGAAGACTGGTCATACAGTCCTGATGGCAGCAGGTACCGGATCGATTCCTGAAAATAACACAACATCAGTTTTTATGAGCATGAAATTCAAAGAACAATATCAAAATGGTCAAAATCAGAAATGATCACCATGGTAACAATGGTCAAACAAAAAGTAACAAACCAATATGATGAAAAAAGTTGCATGGGGAGAGACTGAATTGTTTCACTGCTGCATTGTGACTGAATTGAATTGATTAGCTGCTGTATTGAGTTTGAACTGAATCCACAAAGAATTCATAATGTTACAACCTGTCACAACCTGGTAGTTTACAATAGGCTTACGAATGTCATAACACTACGAAAGCTTTGTGAACTGTGACAAAGAGCTGTATTAACATGGTTAAAGGTGGCACTACAATGTCAGGAGCTCTCTCACCTTGCATATCAACATACCGATATATGAGGACATCACAATCCTACCAGATTCTTTCGGTGCATACCCGCTTCGCATAAATTTCCTGCTAAATATTTCCCCAAACGCCTAATGAGCAGACATATCAGTACGCCTAATATCTATAATCACTGAACCGTGGAGTCTCACTGGAACAGGCTAAGTTCCCAAGTGAGGGTGTCCCTTCTCCCAGCACTCCATTACTTCTTAAAACAACATAAATGAAGCTAAAGATGTTAAAGAAGCTTTAGGTAACTTGGAGATAAATTTAGAGCAGGATATGTGGAAATATATCAGACAGGCTATTTTTACCATGTTACATTATCGCAATGGCGAATGTACAAGTGTCAGTATCTTTCATACATCGGCGGATACAAGTACCAAGTAAACAGAAATAAAATGAGACAGTATATTAGCGCTGTACCGAATTTCGCTGTTAAGGTACTGTAAAACATTAAGTCTTGTATTCTTTGACCTGAATGCAATCAATTATCAATTTACACCTATTAACACATATACAAATGTATATGGACAATCGACAATATTGTACAAACAGTTTCAAAAATGATTTCTTTGACCTGGGTAGATGAGGGCCTGTGGGATAAGCTTGAATGGAACCACTTTGCAGACTGAGACGTGCAAAACAACCGATTGAGACGTGCAAAAGATAGACTGGTTGCCGGTGAAATCGAAGTGATGCACAACATAGACTCTGTTGCTCATCTTCTTGGTGATTGGGAGTGAATGTGACTGAATGTATGACATGAGTATGACATGTGTTAATGACAGAAACTGTATGTTGTATAACTCATCTACTATGTGTGATTGAGTGGGACATGTGTTAATGATATGTTAATGATGTGTATAAAGTATTAAATATATATAAAAAGGTCCCTTGCATTTTGTCATTCTTTGAACACCCCTCTGATCACTACATGTGGACGCTCCCATTCCCACTTCACCTACTCCTTAGTAATCATCCAGGCGTTACATACCCACATTGCCTAAAAGATTTTCCGTACCTAATGGGTTAAAATTAGGCGAAGTGAGAGGACACCATTCTTTCATACTGCTCTATTTACTCTGCTATGATGACCACGCGATTATTATACGTAAGCAGTCTAATGAGAAATTTGACAAACCTACAGTTGTTATTTAACGAAAACGGGACAATAAATGATGAACACAAGTTCCAATTCTAGGAGGATCATCACATTATGTGTTTTTGACATTATATGTTTTTGGTAAGCAATGTTTTCTCACGCTGTAAACAAAGTGTGTCTTAAACACTGTAAATACTTGGGTGATGACATGTGTTTATGATAAGATTGTTATTAATAACTATAAGTTATTGCAATGTTTCACAGCTGATGATTAACCAATAATACAATAAATGCTTCTAACGCATTTGTAAACACATAAGACGAAGATATACAACGGATGCTTTTTATTACTATGTGAACTGAAATACTGGTATGCTACTTAATCCATATAAGTTTTTATAACATGATTAACTTGATTTCTTGATATACTATTTCTGATGACATGAAGATATTTGATCGTTGGGGAAACTGTATGTCAAACATTATGACCACCAGATTATCTCACTAATACAGTGTTATAGGGTGGTCGTTGTTGTTTAACGCTACACTCAGCAATATTTCAGCTATATGGCAGCAGTCTGTAGATTATCAAGCCTCAACCAGACAATCCAGTGATCAACAGCATGAGCATGATGAACATCGATCAACGCAATTGGGATATGATACAGTGTTATAACAAGCATAACAAGTTATCATGGTTATAAGTTTTATTGGAACTGCCCTAAACATGACTGCTATTTGCTATGCAATGAAACTTTGCGCACATACCTTCACATCTCGGTCTGTGATATGGTCCGGGTCAAGGCCCATTATATTTGCAAGGTGTCGTTTTCCAATTTCATAGTCAGCTGTCTCCTTCTTCAACATTTCATCTGAAAAGATGATATGTACGATATTACAACTATATGGCGGCGGTCTGTAAATCATCGAGTCTGGACGAGACAATCCAGTGATCTACAGCATGAACATTGATCTTTCCAAATGGGATACAATGATATGTGTCAACCAAATCAGCTAGTCTGACTACCCGATCCTGTTAGTCGCCTCTTACGACAAGCATGGGTTGCTGAAGACCAATTCTAACCCGGTCTTCACGGGTCACCCCTCTGTATACACAGTGTAGGTTAGTCTTTGTTTAGCCTTATTGCAAGAGTCCAGGCAAGGAAACAACAAACATCAGCTGTTAATGTTTTTGAGATCAAACCAATGAAAGTTTCTTTACCTATAAAAAAACACAACAGCATCGAAATCCTGAAAAAGTAGCATGCTAAAAATGGTAACTGAAATTATTCCAGTTGAATATGTTAATGTTATGTACCATGAGCTTGAGCTCTTTCCATGTATGCTTTCATAGCTTTGCTAATCTTTTCTGCTTTTGTTGGAGTTGACGTGTTGAATGCTTTAGATGACTTTGGGCTGTCAGAATCTAATGTGCAGCTGTAGTGAAGTTGTCTCTGAAATGTAAGTACTTAGCAATTAGCAGTGATGAGGCTAAACATGCTAAATAGTGAGCCATACATTTGCAAAACTGCATTTTACCTCGGGATAAACACATTAACTGTACAGAGTCTAGTTATTTTCAGCAACAATTTAGTTACATGAGCTTTTAAACCCAAAATAAAATCTGCAGACTGGTTGGACTAACCAATGGTAGTTTAACAATGGTTGACATTGGTTTAACCAGGGCACACTGATGCTCAAATGTATATCTGCCTGTTAATTTTGTGTTGTCATTGCAAACAAATACTCTACATATTGTGATTATTTCCTGCATAATAGTAGTTCGCGTTTTGTTCGCTATATCCACGTTACATACCACAAGCAGGTCCCAATATCATTATATTATTAGGCTATATATGTATATTGCCACTATGCAGTTCATCGCACAAGAGTTTCTGTTTTCCACAATCCACATTGCACCACATGCTATGTCAACTGTTATGGCCAAATCCCTAAAGGTGCAAACGGTAATATCAGTAGATGGCGACAACAATGATGTTCTCAGTTTACACACAACAGGAAAAAGGACACTCTGTGAGTGTCACAGTGTGACATGCCCTATCTGAATCACTGCGAATGAATCGATATTAACATCGTGCGAAATGTATAGGGAAGTTAAAACGCATATTGGCCTGAAACATTAAAAACCCAGTAGTTCCGAACTTACTGGTAGTACATCAGACACGATGACTCTCCAATTACTCAATAAGGCCTGATTTGTCAAAACGACATGCCGAATTCGGCCCATGTGGGCGGCCATTTTGAACGGGAGCGGTTATTGTGTTAAGGGAGCATACATTGTTGCTAGCTGAATGTTACTGTTGGCGCTGAGATGAGCGGCGAACCAACATTTGATACGTTATTTCAGGTGGGGTCCTTTGCAGATTAACCTGTAAAGTAAATATAAACGATACCAATATGGAATAGAGATTGCAAGTGATGTACAATGCACTCAGTGCAATGTATTATTGTTAGTGTTATTATTTGTATATATTTTAAAAAGTTACAAACTGTTTTTTCAATACAATTTTGGTACAGACCAGTTGTTTCACTGTACATTGCTGGTTTTTTGGGAATAGTAAATGTACAATTTATTAACTCTCATTACTGTACAGCGTGTTCCCATTTCTGGTATCCTCCGCCGTGATGTTGCTGTTGCTTAAAGCGGCGTAAAACCAAATTCAGTCAGTCAGTCAGTACATCGTGTTCAAGTCATAATTTTGCTGCAATATTACTAATGAAATTTTAACCTACTTAGAGGTGAGGTGAGGTGAAATTGGGTTAACGTCGTGCTTGAGAATATTTCGCTCATATGACGACGTGCATGTGTGTGTATGTGTATGTGCGGCTGCTTGTACTAGCCCAGACTTAAGCTGGTTTTATAGTGCTAGCCCACTGAGATACCATGCCGCTGTGAAGCATGAATACCCCACTCAGACACATTATACTGACTCCGAGCCGACCAGTCCTTGTTTTACCCATTAATGCCGAGTGCTAGGCAGGGACCACCAAGTACCATATTTTAACGTCTTTTGATATGACGCGGTCGGGGATCGAACCCGCGACCTTCCGCTCTCCGGGCGGACGCTCTAACCACTACACCACGGAGGCGGTCCTAACCTACTCAGACACTCAATTGAGCATTATTATTTGTCAAAACGGCAACAAAAATCATAGTACAACACATTCATCACTGATGTATTCCACACAAGCAGACAATATTAATCAGAAGACCAATTCTAACCCAATTCTAACCCGGGTCAATAATACATTGAATTTCTCTTTACTGACGATGTAATCCAAATATTTTGATTTGGATCGAGAACTGTCAATTCTATGTACGAAATAAAAGAATTGAACCTGATGTACGAAAGTGAGATGACTATTAAGAAATGTTAAACGTATATTAAAATTGCTACTTTTCTTCATTAAAGGGAGCGGTGGGGTAGCTAATGGTTAAATCGTCCGCCTAAGACCTGGGGTACAATGTGTGAAGCACATTTCGGGTGTTATCCGCCATGAAATTGGTGGAATATTGCTAAAAACGGCTTTAAACCATACTCACGCACTCGTCATTATAAAGTGAAAGAGAGCAGTAAGAGATTTTACGTGCGCTTCAAATTCTCAGTCATGCGATTTCAGCATAAATGGATTGTATTCTCGAGGCATTAAATCAACCCAAATGCACATGGTATCACGATCCGATTAACATACAGAAGAGGGCATGCAACAGAATCCCCTTTCAGTAGGCCAGATATATCGATTCTACACGTCCTCGCTGAAGAATCTTAGTAAACCACTTAAAATATCAGAGGGAAGTTTCCCAATGAAGAAGTACCCATGTCAACAATCATCTCTGCAAATCATTTGCCAAATACGATAAATTTTGCGACTCGCTCATCCATTGTATTCATACAAGGTTTCTTAACCGCAAGGCTCGCTTAGTGCAATATTTATTCCTAATGTGATTTCATTATGATACTAAAACACACTTGAATAGTAATCTCTTTGTCTAGACAACCTCTGGGGGGCAATTTATGCACTATGGGCATGCTGTCTCTCTGCATTAATACACGAAAAGTCCTATATTGCTGAAAGTATGTTTACAACCCTTGTTGACAAATCTGTATTAGCAGTCTGTTGGGAACACTTACAACACGCGTATCTCCTCTGTCCGCAATCGAGGCATTCCGGCATCTGCCGTGTAGAGCGAGTTCAACGTTCTTTAAGTGGCATTAGTGAGTGAACGAGTGAGTTTAGTTTTACACCGCACTCAGCAGTATTCCAGCTATATGGCGGCGGTCTGTAAATAATCGAGTCTGGACCAGACAATCCAGTGATCAACAGCATGAGCATCGATCTGCGCAATTGGGAACCGATGACATGTGTCAACCAAGTCAGCGAGCCTGACCACCCGATCCCGTCAGTCGCCTCTTACGACAAGCATAGTCACCTTTTGTGGCAAGCATGGGTTGCTGAAGACCTATTCTACCCCGGATCTTCACGGGTGTTAAGTAGCATTAAGACACTGGTATGATGAAGAGGAACAAATTTCATTGATTTCTTGTTCATTTAGATGCGACATTTCAGGGTAGATGTTAACACCGTTATCAATATTTTGGACAAGGAGAATATATGCATGAATGATATTTGGGTTTACACAATTGAAGAGCTTGATATACAATGTGATGGCATAACCCCGTTAGGATGAGAAAGCCACACTAACTCGGTGCGCCTAGTGGCAGCAAGAGTTGAATACTCCCCAGGGAGTTGAGATTGACAATACGATGTGCCGTTGAGATTGACATCCAATGATCGAGGGAAAGAAATGCCAGCGCCTTGAACATGCACTTGTTGCGTGGATATGTCCGTTTTATAAATATCCTATAGTAATAATAATAATAACTGATAGTTGTGATTATAGAGTTCAACACGTCCTCAGAGTAAAATCTGTGGTGGCTGAGTGGGTTAGGCGGCTGACTTTGTGTGCTGGCGGTTAGGTGCCTGACTCTGAGGGTGTGGGATCGAATCCCGGATGGGCCTCAACCGAACAAAAGTTCTAGAATCTGTATTTTCTTGAGAAAGTGTAATCCCAAATATAACCTATGTTACCACTTTCTAAATGACATTGTGTATTCATAACGTTTTCTTATTGCTATAGAATGATTGGTAGTGTAGATTATGAGCTTAGATTGTTAGTGGCTGTATCCTCAAAGGGGGTTGAAGTAGCGTAAAATTATTGTCCTCCTGAGAGGGTACGTAAGTCCCAAAACTTTCAAAGTAAAATTTTCACGTCCTGTGTTTTAAACGTAGTATTCTTGTCATTTTAATTGTTGGCTACATTTTCCTACTTTTCGCCAACAGCTGAAGGGATGGCGTAAATCCAGCTAGGGTCCATGCAGGTAGCAAAAGTAATGTGAGTCCCCATGGTTCCTAGTATGGTGATCTACCTTCAGTTGTTGGCGATCTATAGCCCGTTTTTATATTGTATTGTCTTCGTAAATGAAATAGTTTTACATGTTCATGCTAGTTTTAGACTCCATCTGTGATACTCTAGTTATTTTACAGTCCTTCGATGACTGATTATTTAGCAACTTTAATTTATTGTTTATGTAAAACATTTCTCGTCACTATATGGCTGAAATATTGCCGAGGTGATGTTAAATTCTAACTCACTCACTCACTCTCTATTGCTATAGATGCGACATTTCGGGAAAAATGCTAACACCGTTATCAAGCAAGTGATACACAACACTATGGACAAGGAGAATATGTTCATGAAGGATATTTGGGTTTATGCAGTTGAACAGCTTGATATACAATATGATAGCATCACTGATAGTTGTTGAGAGTATAGAGTTCAACTTTAACGTTGGACCGCCGTTAATTCAGCCATAGGTGACCTGTCATATAGAAGCACCCCACTACAAATCAGTGACTAGTAGACCATGTTATGTTTATTTCAGAAACACCCAATGACACTGATTAGCATGCTTGAGTGAGTTTGCTTTTACGCCGCTTCTAACAATATTTCAGCTATATCACGGCAGGGGACACCAGAACTTCCCTCTCTGAAATGGTGTCATCGGCGTGACAATCGGACGCTTTAACGCTACCCACCGCCCCTCGATTAACAAGATTTCGTGTCAGTTACGTAGCTGTCTGATAGGAGTTTCCAAGCTTCTTTTTAAGTTCAAACCGATCTGGTTGTTTCATGAGCTCATGGGATTTCTGTTTACTGTCTGGCATGTAATTAAGACATTTCAAGTTCGTTAGTTCTTCCAGGTTTCTTCCAGTTTTCCAAGTCGATCGATGTCTGACCTATTAGAAATATAAGTTCTTTATCATCGCGGATGTCCAATGGATTCGCTGGTAGACCTCGCGGCCAGAAACGAAGCAAGATACTTTGACGTCGAGATTTGTTTGTTTGAAATGTGTAATTACACACTGTATTGCAGACAATATAGAAGTTTGTTCGTATATTTGTAAACATACAACGCAATGGATTACGACATATCATCCAAACGTCACAACATGCTACAATAAACGCGAAGTTGTTATCCATCAACTTGTATGTTTTCTTACATGTAATTACCAAGGCCGATTCTTAAATTATTAATCTTTATTTGTAAGTTGGATTTTGGCGATTATACGTAAGTAGGAACGCAGGTTTTCGCTTCATCTAAGGGACGGTGGCATAATGTTTACAGCGTCCGCTCGTAAGGGCGAAGACCCGGCTTCAATTCCCCAGATGGGTGCAGTGTGTGAAGCCCTTTTCTGGTGTCCACCGCCGTGATATTACTGGGATATTTCTAACATCGGCGTGGAACCATACTCACTCACTTCATCTAACATTATTCCATCCAGGTTGGGGTTCAGTTGTGAAACCAGAGACCATATAATATCTATTATATGGTCTCTGGTGAAACTGTGGATTCGAATATATACCCTTTACGTTCCTCCTTGGAGAGAAGGGTGTAATTTTACAGTTTTGCATTTCAGGGAAGTGTCCTCAAAGGTAGTTAACAAATCGAGTCAGAGCTAATGGTGTTTACAGCAAACAACGAATGTCACAGAAACTGGGGGTATCGACGATCATGTTTTCTGTACACGAGCCCAGAATCCATCTGGATGGACGTGAACGCGTCTGGAGGCATGCGAACGTTAACGTATGGTATCATGACAAAGTCGGATGTGGGTCTGTGATGACATTGAAAGGGATTACTGTGGCGTTCTAACGAACGTCATCGTATGGTATCACGACAACGT